CGCTTGGTCCTGAGCTTGCCGCCCCCGCACCAGCAGAGCTGCCACCGACCAGCCGCTGCCGCCCCCGGGAAGGGAACCCGCTTATAAGGCGGCGCTGCCCGACGGGAGGGGCTTCCCAGGGGTGGGGCAGGAGAGAGCGGGGAGGAGAGGAGATGGGAGGGGGATAAAAGAGGAGGTTGGAGAGGTGGGGATAGGAGGATGAAAGCGAGGGGAGGGAGAGCGAAAGAGGCGGGAGGGAGATTGAGACCAGGAGGGGGAAATGGAGAGACTGACGGCCGCTGAGAGAGAAGAGTGGGGAGAGGAGGTGGGAAGGGGTGGGGTTCCTGCGGGAAGACACCTCTCCAAATCCCAACCTACTGCCTGCGAATGTGGAGTCTGGCTCAGGGGGCGGACTAGCGAGGTGGCCAGAATCCTACTGACCCCAAAAAGCCCTGAGATGTTGCCAAGAGGCGGGGCGGGGGTGCAGATTGGGAGGCCGAGCAGGTATTTGAGAAACCAAAAGCTTAAAGAAGAGGAGGAAGGTTGGTTGAAAGCTACTTCTACACGACGCTAGTTTCCCATCTTAGTCGTCCATCACATTCTCTGGGTGGCCTTGAGAAGGAAGGAAGGGATGGGAGAGCGGAAAAGGGCAGCCTGGCCTTCTCTCCTGCTGAAACTGACCTCTGTGGCCCCGTTCCGTTTCCTCCCTTCCTGATTCTTTACTGTGATCTGAGGGGGAATCAGAGGCCCTGCGACCTCCTTTCCTGTCTCCAACTTCCACCTTTATTACTCGCCTCTCTAACCTCACTTTTATTTATCTGATTTTTGTTTGTTTGTTTCTCTTCAGCCCTCTTTATTCATCTCCTTAGACTCCTCTCTTACAACAAACTACATCTTCATTCTTCTGAAAGCAATTCTCCACTTCTTACTGATCCTCTTCTACCCTTGCACCTCAAGACTCTTTCCCTGTCTCTCCTAGACAATGATGTTTTTGTTTTATCTGACTCAGTCAAGTCAACCTGGCCCCATATCATTAGCTGATTTTCCTTAACTCCTCTTCATGTTCTATTTTTTTTTTTTTTTACATTTTCCCCCTGTTTGCTTTCTCTTTCTCCTGCTGCCATCTTTGCAAATATAATACACGACTTTGCAAATATAATACACGTCCAGATCTGGAGTTCCAGCCCCATCCTATTCTGGACATTTTACTCTCACCCTCAACCACGGTGTGTTTGGGGTCATTTTGAGAAGCTTGGGATTTCAGGGTCGGGGACCTGGGTTGTACTAAAAATCAGTAAGGTGAATGGGCTGGAGGTTGTGATTTGGAAGAAAGTGTATCTTTGGTGTGTCATATTCCATATTTGTCATTATTATTACTCTTCACCTTTTTATCATTTCATTTTCTTAATAAAAGGGCATTCCTTGTTGAGCCATCATCATCATGATGATACAGTGCTTAAGTACACCATCTTTTGATCCCTTGATGCACACACCTCGCAATTTCTCTCTTGACTCTTCTATCAGTTTCTCAGTCTTGGTCTCCTCAGAAATCTTGGGGCTCCACCCAGGCTTTTCCTTGCCTGATACTATCCATCTTTTTTTCTGAGATCTTTCCATTTCCCTCTCTCAATCTGTTTCTGTGACTCATTGGCTGATGTCTCTGGCGATCTTTCACCATATCCATCTCTGTACTTTCTCTCTTGCATCGTTTAGCTCCCTCTTTCCCCCTCTTTCGCTACCCGTCCCCTCTCTTAGCCCTCCTCCCCCCCCCCCACAGGTCTCCCAGTCTCGCTCCTCCTGGTCGGTCTCTTTCCTCTCCCTCCCGCCCTCTTTTCCTCTTTCCCTCTTCTCCACCTCCCTGCCCCGCCTGCTGTCTCGGACACCCTGCTGGGCTCTTACCCTGTTGCCCTGGTAACCGCCCCCCACTCCGGTCACCTCCACTCCCCTCCCCCCTCCAATCACCGCCACCAACAACCTCCATCCACCTTCCTCCTATTTTTCCTGAGAACCAATAGAAACCCTGTTGCCAGGTGGAATGCTCATTTGAATCAGCCAATGCAGAAGCCTAGCTGCTTGCCCTGCCTTATATGGGGATGTGAGGAGGGCCACTCCCCCCACTCCAGCCCCACAGGGGACCAGCCCCTCCACAGTCCTTTCTCCCCCGCCCTGAAGGGAGATGTGGACCCTCTTCACCCTTTCATAAAGTGTCTGGCCTCCCACTTCTTTAACTGAGACCACCAGGGTTACCGTGGGGTGTGGGCCGGACTGTGGGCTGGGCCTAGGGCTGGGGGTGGGAATGAGGTGTGATTAGGGAAGGGGAGGCGGAGGGAACCGGGAATTTTGCCCAGGGAGGGGTGTCTGGGAGCGGAGGCAGCTGCAGTGGAAAATTCCAGGGAGATGGAGAGGCAGAGAATGGGAATCCTGCCCCAAGGCCCAAGGGAGCGCCTTGAGAATCTAAGAGCTTGGACACTAGGGTCCAC